CAGAGGTTGGTAGCCCTAGTTTGGCCTGCAGTTCTGCCCTGTAGGACGTGGGCGATCTCTGGATGTTTTTACCTGCTGCTCATTGCACTTTCCCACCTGGGATTGAGTTAGTAGGCTTTAAACATAAAACTTGCTCAAAATGGCTAAATTTGTCGGATACAATAATTGAGTGTGTGCATGTTCCTGTGCAACTAGGTTATTCATCCCATTTTTTGGTGTAGACCATCACAAATTCAGTTTACTCAAAACTGCATAATCTCATCTGAAAGGCCTTATTAAGCTCTAGTACTTTTGAATGCAAATAGATAAACATGCATGGATTATTAAAAATGACCGAAAAGTTCACTCTTATATGAACGGAGATTTATTCCCGAAATTACTGGCTTACCGGCTTACGGGTTGTCTACTGTAATTGTTTACAGGTGTCTATAGGCCGCTATACTGCCCTAACGCCGTTGTGTGTGATAGTTATCTCTCGAACCACTTAGGGGCCGATTACATGGAAAACTTTCAACCCCGGGGTTGAACTCAGTCCTGTTAACTGGGTTGAAATTTTTTGCGATTACATGGACGATTTCAACCCCGGGGTTGAAACGCTATACTATACGTTCTCGGCATCGATTCCCGGAAGTAAAAAAGCCTTTATTTTGTTTTGTTGTAACAAATAGTCACTACCACGTATGCTCGAATAAGTCATGATAATTTCAGCGCTGGGTTGAAACGATTACATGACAAAATTTTCAATCCAGGGCTGAAGGTCAACCCCGGGGTTGATATTTCAACCCTGCTAGCTGAAGCAGGGTTGAAATTTCAACCCCGGGGTTGAACTCAGCCCTGGGTTGAAAATTTTGTCATGTAATCGCGCGTTTGATTTTGATAGAGTTTTGTATTACAGACAGGGCTGAAATTTCAACCCGGTAAACAGGGCTGAGTTCAACCCCGGGGTTGAAAATGCTCCATGTAATCGGCCCCTTAATCCCGATCTTTTGAAAAAAATTGCTATACCTTGAAACGTACATATTCCTTTGTTTATGAAATACCATTGCCTGGCGTACAACTATAAGTCTTTAATTCACTGTCGTTAATACTACCAAATAAAGAGTAAGAAAAGTAATTGCTCACAAGTGTCTTGGAAACTTTAGAAAGCAAAACTTGCTGTGCCAGAATGGTAATAACGACATCCCATATACGGGTTTTCGCGCACTTAGATGGCGAACGCTATAAATACTGATTAATGTCAAGATCACTGGTGTCATGTAGAGGCTTTATTGTGCTAACGACAGAGAGGTTCATATGTGACTTCGATCCACTACAAGTACCATTTACAAATCGGATGAGCTTAATCTATTCGATTAACCAATCAGATGCGTATTGAGCCAGTCTGAACTTCTATTATGCAAACAAAACTTTCTTGACTTTCCAACCCGAATTAAGGTTACAGGACACCTTTTTTGGCGTTTTGCGGAAAATCGCTACTGCGCGCTCAATATCAGTCCGATTTTCATCAAATTTTCACCAAATGTTCTCCAGTGCATGCAAAATATGGTAAAGTTGTAAAATTAACAAGCAATAAAATAATGTAAGAAAATCTTAAATCGCGGTACCGTAACGCTTTTGAGTTATGTTCCTGCTGGTTTTAAGTTATATTTATGAAAATATCATTTTTATACAGTAAAATAGTTGTTCTAAAAAATTGTGTTCGGAAATTTTTGTTTATTTCGTCATTCCGCTGATATGGCGATTTCTTTGACAACTGCAATATATTTCTGAATTGTTTTAGTAAATTGCTCTTTATTTTTAAAATATCCAAAATTAAAAAAAAGCCGAACACAATTTTGAAACTGACGTCTTTAGCTATGTCCTGTGAAAATTTGAGAAAAATTGGTTAAAACCCGCGGGAGCATAACTCGTTTGAAAATCAGTAATTACCGTAAAATTTTTCGGGGGAAAATTGAATTTGAATATTACATTTTCAATGTTTTTCTTATTGCAGCGAAATGTATTTTATTAAATAACTCTGCGAGTTTTCAACATTTTCCGTTCAAACTTGGTCAGATAGTAGAACTAGTCTAATGCTTTCATGGAAACCAATAAAAAATTTTTAGGCAAAATTAACACTCAAAGGTGTTCTGTAACCTTAACAACACTCTGGACCTGCTTCTTACCAATATTCCAGAAAAAGTTATGAACGTGCACGGATTCGAGGACATTATTAGCCCAGATCACACACTCATAAGCTTCGATGTCAATTTCAAGATTTGTAAAAAACCGAAAGTCAAGCGTTCAGTGTATAATTTAAAAACGCGAATTGGTCGGGTTTAAAACAAGTATTAGCAAATATAGCAAATATAGCAAATATAGCAAATATAGGGACTTCCCTACCATGGGAACTTGGTTTTGTTTCTGATGATATTAACACATTACTCTCCAGTTGGTGTGAGTCCTTCATCTCTGCCGTGAATGATCACATTCCAAACGTACATCCCGCTGCGTGTATGACCCCCCTTGGATTGACAAAGAACTTTTAGCTCTGCTCAAAAAGAAAAACATTCAGCGAAAGAAATCGCGTAAGTCGAAGAGTCTAGAAGCCATCGCAAAATTCAAACAGCTGCGTCGTGAATCCAAGATTCTTATCGCTAAAAAGAAGATCGAACATGCAAACAAGATGAAAAATAGTGTTTTCGAAAACCCTAAACGTTTCTGGTCATACGTGAAATCTTCAACAAGATCAAGCCAAAGTCCGAATTTTCTGAGAAATGGACAATCATATATCACAGATAGTCGTGAGAAAGCCAACCTCTTGAACACTTTTTTCCACTCAGTTTTTAACCCCAGCGACATTGAACCTCCTTCTTCCTTTCCAACTCCTTCTAAAACCCTTGATAATCAGCTATCGGAGATCGAACTGATTGAAGAAGAAGTTCCTGCAGTATTGAGGAACTTAGATCCAAACAAGGCTAGTGGACCAGACGGTATTCCGTGTAGATTGTTGAAAAAAGTCGCGTATGAGATCGCTCCATCCTTGTGCAGATTGTTCAACCTTTCCCTTGGTGTAGTGCCGTCAGAGTGGAAATTCGCCAACATATCTCCTGTCTTCAAGAAAGAGGATCCATCGATAGAATCCAATTACCGTCCTATCTCTCTTCTCTGTGTACTGTCCAAAGTATTGGAACGTTGTGTTTTTAACCACTGCTACTACCACCTCTCACCCCTGTTACACCACCTTCAACACGGGTTCTTGCGCGGACGATGAACGGTAACGCAACTTCTGGAGGTTTATCACAACATCATAGAAACCGTTGCATCGGGAATGGAAGTAGATATCATTTACTTAGATCTATCCAAAGCCTTCGACAAGGTCCCACATAGTTTACTACTTCTAAAACTGAACAGTTATGGCATCTCAGGATCTCTTCTCTCGTGGTTTAGCAGCTATCTCACGGACAGATATCAAAGAGTTGTTCTTGATGGTGTTTATTCTGACTGGCTTCCAATAACATCCGGTGTCCCCCAAGGTTCCATACTTGGTCCTCTCCTGTTCCTTGTCTACGTCAACGATCTCCCCAGCTACATCAATTCCCAATCAACCATTGCCCTGTTTGCCGATGACTCCAAACTTTATAATCCATCAACCTTCCTGACTCAACCCTTCACCTCCAAAACGACTTGGATAACCTTCATAAATGGAGTCTCGACTGGGCGATGAAGTTTAACAAATCTAAATGTCAAGCACTACGGGTCTCGATAAAAAAGACGAAGATTGTATCTCAGTACAATTTGGACGGTCAACCTCTGGAATGTGTTCCATACGTCAAAGATCTTGGTGTGACTATATGCAGTGACATGTCCTGGTCAAGACACATAGACGAAACGGTGGCCAAAGCCAACAGAACACTCGGACTTGTCAAACGAACTTGCAAGGATACCCATGACCAAAGAGTGAGAAAATTACTATTCTGCGCTCTCGTGAGGCCCATTCTAGAATATGCCAGCAGTTTATGGTCACCTTATACCATCAAGCATAAGAGACTAGTCGAAAATGTCCAGCGGAGGGCAACAAAGTTTATTCTCGACTATCCACAGGACCTAACGTATGCCGACAGACTCGCGAAGATCAAGATTCTCCCTCTTGAGTTCAGGAGATATCTCAGACTTATGCCTACTTTTTAAATCTAGAACTGCATGGAGCAATTACTGCGGATGTGAACAAATATATATGTACTTTTGAACCTGGATACCAATCAAGAAATTATGATAAAAACAACTATAATCTTATAATTAAACACAAGCAGGACTATTTTAGAAATTCTTTCTTCATTAGAACGGTTGAACTATGGAACACTCTACCGTCTCTTGTCAAATCCTCCAATTCTTTAAGTATTTTCAAGTCTCATCTTCATAAGTTGTATTCTACTAAGTTATCGCATTACGTACCTCCGGGCACTGCGTGATCAGCGTCTACACATTGCGATTTGTTGAACCATCATCCGGCCATTTTCATCATATTTACAAATATGTTATAAATTGACTCGTGATTTCCAAATTGATTTTGAATAATTCATAACTGTAATCTGCATAGTGGGTAAGTCGCAGTGTGTAAATGTTCAGTACTTTTATAGTCACGATTCAAACCTTAGCTAGTATAAGTAGTTGTTGTAACTAATGTGTTATAAACTGTTCTTTATCTGTATTTATATTTAAAGTCTTTCTAGGGGTTAGGTGTCAATTGGGACGAGAGTCCTGTTCCTTTCCCCTGTCACGATTTGTATCTGTCTTTATTTGTCTTTAATTAGTTTGTATCATTATAAAGTGACAAATTCATTATATTATATTATTATATTAAAACAACTTCGCGTCAAGGACTCCCCCCGTGGAAAAATTCTGCGAGAGATAAAGAGTGATTGACACAAGCACTATAAATAGGCATAGTATATCAATTCCTTTCGTAGTTTCAACTAAAGTGCGCAGAGGCGAATGAGTACCGTATAGCTACACAGCCAGAAACGCCACAGACTTGCTGCAAGTTGCGGATTTTACCGACCTGCTGCAAAGTTGTCAACAAGTTGCAGCAGGCTTGTTGACGTCATCAACTTGCAGCAAGCCTGTTGAAATCAGGTTTGCTGCAAGTTCACATTTGCAGACTTGATGCAAGTTGATGAAACAGGTTGCATCAAGTCTGTAAATGTCAACTTGTAACAAGCTTGATAGAACAACTTGCAGCAAGTCTGATGAACGCATCAAGCTGATGCAAGTTGAGAAAATCAAGCTTGCTGCAAGTTGTCATTTACAGACTTGATGCAACTTGTTTCATCAACTTGCATCAAGTCTGTGGATATCAAGTTTTTACAAGTCTGATGGAACAACTTGCAGCGAGTTTGATGAACGCATCAATATTGATGCAAGTTGAGAAAATCAGACTTGCTGCAAGTTATTATTCGCAGGCTTGCTGCAAGTTGTTCAAACAATTTGCGGCAAGCTTGTGGATAACAAGTCTTGACAAGTCTGATAAAACAACTTGCAGCAAGTCTGTTAAAATCAGGCTTGTTGCAACTTGACATTTGCAGACTTGCTGCAAGTTAATAACAAATTCATTTGACTTGTTCACAGCTTACAGACTTTGTTTATTGTTTGGCTAATTCGGTCGTGAAAAGCAGTTTCTTCAATTATATTATCGCTCTATACATGAATATTTAACAATGGAGATGTTTGTATTTTAAATCAAAAGGATTATTTTGCCGTATTTTGCCGTATTTAGCCGTCTTTCCAGCTATTTCTGATGAATAAAATTAGATGAGTTGAAATCATAGATTAAGTAAGTATATACTTCATCTGTGGTTGAAATGGACAGCTGTAGAAAAATTCTCGCAAGTCGCAAATGAAATAATTAAAAATTTTATAAAAATGAAAATTTAGGAACAACTTGCTGACGGGCGTGTGCTATCGCTATATTTCTTTAATCTGATTGGATAAAGGCGTATGCACACGTCATCATTCCTCGTTGCAATTGGACGAAATATTACAAACATATCAATCACGTAATCACAGAATAGATACCGGACCGGAAGTGTCACTCCTATGTGTTTTGGCTGAAGGAAAACGTCCGAAATATTTTTGCGTGCTATGACGCCATCCTGGAGTGCACCCGGTACTTTGTACCTGTTTTCCTATGAAAAACTTCCGTGTGCACTCCAGGATGGCGTCATATGATGGCGTATTTTCACGTCAGCATTCGTAAAATTTCGGACAAAATATCGTCTGAGTGACACTTCTGGTCCTGTATCTATTCTGTGACGTAATCATGTTCAGTTGTTTTTGTCTTTTACTTAAACACGTTCACAAGGAAGCGAAGAAAGCTCAAAGCTGGTTTGATTTTTGAAGAAAGTGGCAATGAGAATACAAGATCTAGAGCTTAAGAAACGAAAAATACGTAAACAACCGAGTCTTCATCGTTGATATGAATATGGAATTCGCTACACAATTTCTTTCCAATTTCAAGTGAAATCTACGAACGAGGAAGACGCCTTTTTGAAGCTTTGTGTATGTACTATTTTGAAGAAAAATATGCAAGTAGGTTGTCATATTTCGGTCGCACTTGTAAAGGCCTTTTAATTTTGAGAATTGTTTACGATAAGAACCTTTCTTTGTCGTATTTTTTCGGCTGTACGTTTTGCTCCAAAATTATCTCGCAAGTTTGTTATATAAAAGTCTTGTTATTTTACGAAATACTACAACCGAAATATGGCAACCTGTTTGGCCGTTTTTTGTTCAAAATAGTGGATACACGAAGCTTCATAAGGCGCTTTCCTCACTCAGCCTTTTGACAACAAGCCTGACATCAAGCCTGTGGATGACAACTTGCATCAAGTTCGCAGGTCACAACTTGCATCAAGTCTGCAGTTCACAACTTGCATCAAGTCTGCAGTTCACAACTTGCTCAAGTCTGCAGTTCACAACTTGCATCAAGCTTCTCAATTCACAACTTGCAGCAAGCCTGCAGTTCACAACTTGCATCAGGTCTGCAGTTCACAACTTGCAGCAAGTCTGTTGACAACTTGCAACAGACTTGATATTATTAAGCCGGAGCAAGCGATGCGAACGCATCCTGATATCGGCTTGATGATCGCAAGTTGCGTCAAGTCTGCAGCTGAGACCTGCTGCGACCTGTATAGTGCACATACCAACCTCTTGAAAAAGGGTTGTCCCTCAAAACGTCGAGAAATGCACTCTGAAAACAATGAAAAACACCCTTGTTAAAATTTTCCTGGTTGAGCTAAAAATAATCCTATTTAAATTTTCTGGTTATTTTATCTCACGTCCTACCATAGTCTGGTTAATGTAACCAAGAATCTGGTTATATTTCACCAGAACATCCTGGTTAAAATAATGATAGGTGCATGATTAGCATACTATGATAGGTGCATGATTAGCATAAATAACGAAGGGGGCCTGACAGAACCCCTCAACCAGGAACATTTTATCTATGCAGGTTCTTTTTAGAGTATGCTCATCATTTTGATGTTAACGATCAGTCTACCACTAACATCGACCATGAAATATCAAGTTTAAAAATCTTTGCACTACATTGTTAATATAACATTTCTGTTCTTGCTAGGTGTTACTCGTACGTGGGAAAACAATCCGGCCGACAGGTGATATCTTTGGGTTCTAGATGTGAATCAGTAGGCATAGCTCTACATGAAATGCTCCACGCTCTTGGTTTCTTCCACACAAGTTCCAGGACTGACCGAGACTTTTACGTCATCGTTTATGATAAAAATATCGCAACAGGTTCGTATTTTATTCCGTATGATGATATTATTATTATTGTCTTTATTAGGGTCCACTACAGTATATGTACAAAGTCTAATTATAAAGTCTAATTATTCGAAGACCCTAAATGGGCGAGGCGCAAACGGGACTCGAAGAACCATGCAAGGGCAGTGCCATATGTAAGGGCAGTGCCATATGTAAGGGCAGTGCCATATGTAAGGGCAGTGCCATATGTAAGGGCAGTGCCATATGTAAGGGCAGTGCCATATGTAAGGGCAGTGCCATATGTAAGGACAGTGCCATATGTAAGGGCAGTGATAGAGGAATGTTCCGTACAATCTTTTCTTAGCCTTAGAGGCTGTTCATATAAACCGGGCTATAGAGGAATGTTCCGTACAATCTTTTCTTAGCCTTAGAGGCTGTTCATATAAACCGGGCTAGCCGGTATCAATCGTGTCACAAATGTTTTTCCTGACCATTAAAAGATCGTTTGAATTTTATATTGTTACTGGAATCATGGATAATAAAATAAATGGATAGCTGACGTGACCTAATGTTTTCAATGGGCTGATGGCGTGGTTGGATGTCTCAACCACAGAGTAGAGACATACAGAGACGTAACTAGTGTACCCACTTTTTTGTGCGCATGCTCGGCAAGTTACTAGATGCATGCATCTGATTGGATGACGACCTGATGACGACTCACTTTAAACTTGCTGAGCACGCGCAGTTGATCATTTTTCGCCCGGTCGCCTGAAAAAAAGTGGGTACATGAAAACGTAAGCTTCCGCAGTGTCACAGAATAGATACAGAACCAGAAGTGTCACTCAGACGATATTTTGTCTGAAATTTTACGAGTGCTGACGTGAAAATACGCCATCATATGACGCCATCCTGGAGTGCACACGGAAGTTTTTCATAGGAAAACATAGGTACAAAGTTCCGTGTGCACTCCAGGATGGCGTCATAGCCTCATAGCCATAGAGATTATAAATAACACTAGAGGAGGCATCGAGTTTAAAAATTGGGAACGCAGCTAATGGGGGGCAAATTCAAGTCCCGGATATAAAATCGTGCTCTCATTGGCTGATTTGAAACTCGTCACCAATGGGAACACGAATACACATCCAGGACTTGAATTTGCCCCCCAATAGTCGCGTTCCCTTTTTTTTACTGAATTAAGATTATAATGCCTCCTCTAGTGTTATTTATAATCTCTATGCTCATAGCACGAAAAAAAATTTCGGACGTTTTCCTTCAGCCAAAACACATAGGAGTGTCCCTTCTGGTCCGGTATCTATTCTGTGGCAGTGTTTACAACGGTCAGTTACGTCTCTGTATGTCTTATCTACTCTGTGTCTCAACCTAGTTGAAAACCAAATTCTCAAAAACGGCATGTTTAGCAATAATACAGTTAAACATTTTAGTCAAAGAGCAAATAAATTTAGCCATTCTATGATGAAAGCTTTAAGTATTCCCAGTCAATTTTAGCAAATATTTCAAGCACTAAACAGTGAAAAATACATCGCAAATTTCGTTAAAATTTGTGACGCCAATTTCGTAGCTACAAATGTAAAAAAATACAAAACAAAGAAGAAAAACATTTACCTTGAATACTTTGTCGTGGCTTAGGCATGTTTTTGAAACAATTAGACCAGTTTATGCTTCAATATCACCCTTTTAAAGTGGAAAATATAGCAAAACAACAAAAATGCCGAGAACTTTGGTAACATTCGCAATACGCGTGACGTCACGTTTTTCAACAAGGATGCAGTCAATGACGTCAGGAAGTTTCCTATCCAGTTATTTTACAATCCATGCTGGAATGAAACTATCATAAACATCCAATGTTATTAGTTTATGAAAGCCGTGGTAAGAGCTTTATTAAACGAATCATCTCGGTTAACCGGGCAGTCCGATTCCATATGAACAGCCCGTTAAAATAATTACAATTCAAAAATTTGCATGGCTGATTAATTCTGCATCATATTTGAATATCGTAAACGCGTCTACAGAACGTGAGGACGAAGAAGATGTGTAAGGCGACGTTTTCTTAAATTGAACGTTAGAGCATACAGGCTGTACAATGAACCTGTAATGCAGTGTATGTGGGCCGATAAAGGTTGTGTTGGGCTAAATGCTACGATCAAATACTATGCCTATGGATCCTAAAAATTAAGTTAGACGTGTATATATACTTGCATCTGCCTGAAAGAAATATTAAGAACGTGTCGACGTTTTGAGCCCTCCCGCTTCATCAGGAGGGTAGAAATTAAATTAATAGTTTAAATTTTGTGTTTGAGGTGTACACGTATACAGCACGGATACAGATCAGTAGTATACACTTTCATGCAATACATTAATAGATAAAGTTGATAAACAGTTGAAAAATATCCAGTCGGTTAAATATTTCTTTGTGGATAGAAACAATCGGTAATTAAACGACAGAGTTTGATTTTCGCAGTTATAATGGGCATTGGTACTGATTTACTGTGTTTTTCTAGGTATGGCTCACAACTTCCACAAGTATTCCCATGGTCAAATTGACCACCTCAACTCTCCGTATGATATCACATCTATCATGCACCTACCACGACATGCATTTGCAAAATCTCGTAACCTAATCACAATCCAGGCGAGAGCTGGTTCTCATATAAAACTTGGTGAAACAGGCAAGCTTTCCCCAGTTGATAAATATCAAATAAATGCTCTTTATAAATGTTCGTCAACTACAACAACATCAAGTTGTTTGATTGCATTGGGCCTGCAAAATCGTGCTATACCTGACAGCTCGATTCGAGCCAGTAGTCAGTATTCTTCCTTATTTAAAGCCAGTGCAGCCAGGCTTCATGGATTGCCGTCTATGTACAATATGGGTGCCTGGTGTCCGAAGACAAAGACCAACTCTTGGCTTGAGGTAATTTTCTAAATCATGTTTTTGTATCTACGCTTTCGCATATATATATACCAAGAAAGAAAAAGATAGGCAGTTTATCTGAAGGTATAGTGTTCCAGTTATATTAATTTCAATGTCGAGGAGTGAAGGTAATGTTCCAATGCTGTTAAAGTGCTGTTGAATACGAAAGATTTGGAACACTATTTTGACTTTCAAGTTTCAAATGCATGATTTCTTCGACATGTTTTGCTTTTATATCTTAAAACCTTTGCGCTAGTAGAATTAAGAGGAAACTGCGTGTTATATTAAGTACAATTGGTTTAGCTAAGTCAGTGAATGTGCAAGTGTGATCTAACAAAGGATTTAGAACTGTAGCATATTATTTGACTGCAGCAGAAGTTTCACTATTTTTCGAAATTTACTACACTGAGACCACATTATAGTGGACACACGGACCATCCAAGATGTTTGAAACTGACCTGATTTCTTTATGTATCAACACGCCAAAAACGTTAAAATAAGAAAAGAACATAAAAACACGCCAAAATAAGATGAGAACAATCTTCTAATTTTTAATAACTTACTTTCTGAGCTGAATGAATTATACAGGGTACTAAATTAGGCCTACCATGTATAATTAGACTAATTAGGTTGCATGAGGTGCTCAGTACATCAATCGCCTAGTACCTATTACCAATGTACGCCTAGCGTACCTATTTCTAATCAGTGCGACCAAGGGGGAGGCTGTTAGATGCAAATGATGGTATCTATAATTTTTAATGGAGAGGGGCGCTTCGCAATTATTTAAAAAGCTCATTAAAATTAATTTTTAAATATATTTCAATTGAAATATGTTCCAGATTGATCTTGGTCAAATGGTCAGGGTAACTGGAATTGCCACTCAGGGACGTCAAGGCATGATGTCTGATGAATATACACCGAAATATGACTTGAAGTATAAAAAATATTACTACAGCAGTTGGTATTCTTACTTGTCCACATCTAGAGCATACGATGGCACACAGGTTAGCCAATCATTCACTTCATTGGCTTTAGGTTAAAATATTCATGCATGAATTATTGATTTTTTTAATTATTGTATTATTGTAGATTAATTATTGTAGAATATTTTTAAAATTTTAGGATTATACAAATTAAATATAAAGTTTACTGCCCGTCTACAGGCTTTTATTGTGTTTTTTTTACAATAATCGCTATATACACTGGGAAAAAATGTGCCGGAAATCCAAACTATGAAACTTACAATTGCACCACTAAATCCATAGTATATCCATACTATGTCGATAGTATGGAAATATACAATTATTATGGATGATCAAAACCATGCTGTTTCCAATAAAGGTCCATACAATTTCCATTTTATGACCTTCTATGGATTTTCAAATTTTTTTCCAGTGACAATTTTACAGTTGTTATAAAAACAACAACATCAAATAAAAGCCTGAAGACGGGCAGGAAAACTGCCCGAAACGTACGCTGCAAATATAAAGAATTTTATACCTGTTAACCTACATCGAATATTCAGAAAAAAAGGTGAAAGTTTTATAAGAAAAATTAAAATGACATCTGGTGCAATAATATTTTCTTTTTCACAGCGCATATAAAAAATAATCCTTTAACATAAACTAGTGTAAGCTGAGACGTTAGGCTTTTACTAATGTCACATACACGAAAACGAGGTCCTACAGCTAATGTGACGTACTTTCCAGAAAGGCGTATTGGTGTTAAAGGCTAAAAGATGTTACGTCAGCCAAATGACGTCATCCTTGCGTCTGTCTCAGTACTAGTTTATCATGTCTTCGAATAATGAAGAGTTAATTTTTAAACCTATTTGTAGCAATATTTGTAGCTAGCCCGCAAAATCACGTTATGTGATTGGTGGATGTGTCTTTGTCTGTCCGATCTGAACACTATATGAGCATGAGAGTAATATGATGTTTTAACATCATTACTCTCATGTTCATGTCGTGTTCGGTCGGACAGACAAAGACACATCTGAAGATTGACTGAGAGCTTGATTACTGTATGTAATAAATTAATTGAAGCTTTTTAAAATAACTTTACAAACGGCTAAGTTCGGAGAAAACGATCCGGTGTCTGCTATGAGACAGATTTTATGTAACTCCTCCAGTTAACGTCGTAACCAAGCATTTACATTGCTTTGATGACGTGAACATCTTAAACCCCGTTTACACGGTACCGGACGAATTTGGAACCTGTCTGAAATTCGTCCTTTTTCGCCTGTTTACACGCGAATTCGTCCTGTTAGGGGGTCTCAAATTCGTCCAGTTCCGTGGTTCTCGTGTGTTTACACGGCCGAAACGGCCAAATTTTAGTCCGGTTCCAAATTCGTCCGGTACCGTGTAAACGGGGTCTTAGTTTAGCGTTGTATCCAGAATGACAACGTTGTCGAGGATACCCCTGGGACCACAAATTATTCAAACCTTTTGTTTTGCATGAAGAATTTGTTTGTTTCAATTCGCGTCGTGTTTTCTAAATCAATCTAATCATTACCATTGATCGGGTACCCGACGTAATTGGGCATGGTGGTAACGACGGAGTCCAGAGTCGGAGTACGGAGTTGGGACCTTCCAGTTTTCAAAACATGAAAACTGTGCGTAGACTTCGCAGATGGACGCAATACCTTTGGACTGCATGCTGCATCTCGCACTACGTCATGTCATTCGCGTTTAATATGGTGCACGTGAATCACGGCCGGTTGTTGAAAGCAGGATAGCCCAATTAAACCCTCGGTTAAATTTAACCTGTTTAGTTTATGTATGTTTTAAAACTTCAGAGAAGAAAACTCCTATACTGATCCAGACAAGATTTCTAACGAAATATTTCGAAATTTATAAACAAGCTGTTGGGAAGTTTGCTTTGAATTTTACATTAACATAAGGTTAGCTTGTCCCTTTCGAACAACCGGATCGACGGAATAATGTTTCGAAATACTTTTTCGATAATGGACTCCATTTATTTAACTTTTTCTATATAGCCTTTATAGGAATATAGTCATTGGCCTTTGTCAGTGGCGAGTGACCAAGTCATTTTAGCTTTTCAGTTGTTCGTATCCCTTGCTATAAATGCAACTACGATGTAACAATATGTATTTTTTGTACTAGAGTTTACCAGGTAACTGGGATGGATGGTCAGTGCAGTATAATGCCTTGAGTCCAACGTTTACTGCAAGATATGTGAGACTTTACCCCAAATCTTGGAAAAATCGACCTTGTTTTCGAGTTGAAATTTATGGCTGTAAAAGTACGTATATGATTGTCAGTTTACTTTGGCTTAAGTTATGCCCATATGAACGTGACCGTTCAATGTAATATTTTGAAACCTATATCAATATCTTTTTTAAAGAATGCGCCTGCAGTGTCACTGTTTTTCGACTGTCAGTGGGCCTTGCACAACACTTTATAGCACGACAATAGTTCTAACCAATCGGAATTAATGTTTCTTTTGAAACTCTGAATATTCTCAAACATGCCATCCACACGTGCCCCATCCTATTCGTCAGGGGAGGCCAGCGCAGATATTCGCAAATATGTGGCTCCCTGGCCATAATCCTCCAGTCACTAAGGAAATCGGCTGACACTTGTTTATACCCAATTAGTAATAGTTAGTTGTTCCAGTTTACGAAAGCATGCATAAATACATGCATACTAACTATTATTAATTGGTTTTAAACAAGTGTCAGCCGATTTCCTTAGTGACTGGAAGATTATGGCCAGGGAGCCACATATTATCGAATATGCATGGTGAATAACTCATTTACATAATTCCTTTAGTACCTTTGTTCTCCTATTATGATTTCGTAATATCGCAATGTGCAGCCATGTGATACATCATAGTTGTTCACGGCGTATCAGCGGCGGCGGAACAGATTTCGTTCTGGGGGGCTATATTTTTTCGGCGACCCCGAAAAGGGACGAAAAAAATTTTTTCGGACTTATATCAAAAATATTTTTTCGGAAATACACTTTTTTTAAACAAAATATTGCAAATTTGTCCCCTTATACCTAAATTTTCAAAAAATAACCTAAATTTTTCCCTAATTATCAAATTTTTTTCCAAAAATTCAAATTTTCTGGGGGGGCTAAGCCCCCCCACTTTTACTTCTGGGGGGGCTTTAGCCCCCCTAGCCCCCCCTGTTCCGCCGCCCCTGCGGCGTATGGCAACAGGTTAAAGCAAAGGAGTACGAGCAAAACATTGCTGAAATTTGCAACACAAACTGACTTCAATGCATGTTAGTTAGAAAAGTTGCGAATGCTGTTCAATGTTTGACTACTTAGTTGTGACAACATTTTTAACATGCATTGAAATCCGTTTTTGTTGCAAGTTACTGCAATGTCGTTGCTCGTATTATTCCACCTTCGTATTAAACTCACCCCAAAAACGTAAGATGCATTGTTTACAATGAAATGTTCTTTTCATATAGTTTGAAACTGCAAGTGGACAAATTGAAGTTGAAGAATGAAGTAAAATAAAATGATTTTGGTAGAAATGAATTGAATGTAATTTAATAATAAGAAATAAATTTTAAAATGCAATCTATAAAATAATTACCTCGTCTTGTTATATATATGCATGCGTCAGGCATTAAAATAAGGACTTTTTACAGGAACACACTTTAGGGGCCGACCATTTAACTTTTGAGGGTGGGGGTGGGGGGGGGGTGATTTACTGCTGGCAGGGTTTTTTTTTTCTGGGATCGTTATGTGCAAGATTTTTTTTTATCCCATCACCATGTACGATTTTTTTTCCACGCTTTCTTTCGCAGCATTTTTTTTTCAATAGCTTATACTATTTAGATTCTTTAATTATAGTTAACGTTGAGTTTTCTAGCTTCATGCATTGCTCTTAATAATACATATTGCTATGAGGTATAACATTTGGTTCAGGGCCTTTTTTAAGGATGTGTAACTGGAGAGGACATAATTAGCGGGGGACCTGGAGAAGTTCCAGTCGGCAAGTCTGTATCCAGGGCCGTAGCTAGCATGTATAGTTGGGGGGGGGGGGTGTAGGCCAAAAATTTCCGAATGACGAAAATAATTTCCGAATATATCATGGCATACTATTAGCCATGAAGGTGTTTGCTATTCGGAAAATGAAGACGCAATTTACAATACGAAGGTGTTTGCTATTCGGAAAATGAAGAAGCAATTACAAACAAAAATACGCATCTTTTACGCACAGACATATTACAGAAGCAGTGCGGTAGGGGCTTTTGTTTATTGGGGGCAGAAAACGAGGGCCGGAGGGCAGAGGAAATTTTTAAATTTCGAGTCTCTGAAATGCCATTTCCTGGACTTTGGGGAAGTTTTGACAGAATGCTGATGGTCAGAAAAAAGCGTTTTAGTATGTCGAAATTTACAATTTGCTTACAATTTATAGTGACAATACAATTTTATAATATTTTCTCTGTTTAACAACTAAAATTTTGTTCTACTATTATTGCCGTAATTTTCCAAATGGCCAACCCGATTTTCTGAATATGTTGATTCTAAAATCCCCAATACCCCCCGCCCCTCGCTACAACCCTGTCTGTATCACTGCACCTACCTACAGCATATATATGCATGGTTTAACTAATAAGTATACGTCATAGGGCAGCAGCTCAGGTCATGCTTAACTAGGACTCTGAGACAACTGAGTCAACCACCGAAGGTGCGAGCCTCTAGAGGGGTCTGGGGGCATGCCCCCCCCAGAAAATTTTGGATTTTTTGAAGCTCTGGGGCCGGTTGTATAAAACTCTTAATCACTTTTTTAATCACTATTTTGTAGTTAAATAGTGATTAACTCTCAAATAGGCGCTTCTTATTGAGTGACGTTTGCAATTAATCATAGTTAACTTTAATCACTTTTTTATACAACCGGCCCCAGATAAGCTATTTACAGCATTTTGAGGAGAATAGCCTTGCAGGAAATGTTGTTCAGAATAGCCTTGCAGGAAATTTTTTTTTTCAAAAAAAGACGCTATTTTAATGCCTGGCATGCGCGATCTGAAGTTTCATAAAGCGGCTTTTAATTCAGACCAAGAATGACCCTAGACGGCAAGACCTTCGAACTGCAACCCGACATTAGTTTTGCGCGGATTCGTGGCGCTCTCGCGTGTTTCTAGTCTTGCAAAAGCTGGGACGAGACTGGGTTCAGTCAGTGGCGCTGGCCCAATAACACCATATTATTATATACAAATAATGAATGTTTCACGTGCAATGGTAAGAGTATTTTCATTCGGTGAAAGATGGATGATGGTATATAATACCAAAATGTAATGATAGATTCGTATGAGAAGTATTTTGACAGATGCGATTTATCGAAAACACAAAGAGAACAATGGAATAAAACGTATAGTACAGTTGCACTCGCAAAGAGTGCAATGGAACGTATGCAATGGAACGTATTCCATTGCGCTCTTGGGAAATGGAATTTTCTATTCAATATCACGTGACCATAAACAGCCAATTAAATGATCGGAATTCAATAAGGTATTATATAATACATTCTAGTCGCTACATGCGTTTTGATTGGTTAATAGCTTACAGCTAAATATGGCAATCACGCAACCTACACATAACCACAGAATGACATAACTCAGTTATCTGCCAGCATGCAGATAACTGAGTAACAGATAACTGAGTAGCAGATAACTGAGTTATAAACCTAACCAGGAGTATGCAGTTGCAAAAACCTTCTCTTGACAAGATGTGGTAACGACCTGTGGTGAGCTAGCATCAGCGAACGCACCAATCATGTTACACAGTTTCGTCACCATATCTTCAACTCTGTGAATCCGTTCTGAATTATTTTTCAGCAATTCGTGAATTTGCCTCTGTATTCAATGAAATAAAATGGAAATTTAAGGAACTTTGCCGACTTTGGGAGCACCATTTGAGTTCGCCCCCCCCCCCCCTGTCAGCAGCTAGGTTCAGCCAGCGGTATGTAATTTTATAGCAAGTGGCAGATTAAATACGCGAGTAAAAACAAGAAAAAACAGCATGAACGAACGGCGTTTTTTGTGCAATTGATATTTTTTATCGGAAATTTAGTAGGTAAACGAGATTTCTAATATATTTATGTATTTCAAAATAAAGCTTTTTGTGATTGATTTCGCTACGGTCGCTACGTCCCTGCAATAACTGCATGTTTATTGTTAGCTATACTGAATTGGTTGCCCTAGATAAAATCATACTGAATTGGTTGTCCTAGATAAAATCTTACTGAAAGTGTTTGCTTTGCAACAAACTTCTAATTGCCACCACGTTTTTGCCACGAACACAGCAACAATTTGAATAATATATACACTATATACTGAAATAACAAAAACCCTCGAACACGTACTTTTACTTATTTTTCATGAAGAACGGCAACCTCGTGTTCTTTGGTGTTCCAGTTTTGATTATCCCAGAGCATCTGAGAGCCACAAGCGCAGATTGGAAGAGATTGGATAAAAGGCAAATTAAAGTGGATTCATCACGATTTATTCGCCTTCGGAAGCTGATAAGGATACTCAATTCTTTGGATCTGGGTAAGAGCTTGGTTTGTCAACGGAAGGGTTAGCTCAAAATTAGTAGGTACCCACAGAACGTACAAAATTGTTTTCATAGTCGGCAAAACATGAATTAGATGAAGTAGATAGGAAGGAAAGAACTAAAATATTTGAGTTAATTAATTAAAAATTATAGCTAAAATTTGGAGAAATTTACGAAAACATTAAGGAAGAATTAAAAGAATAACGCTACGTTAACCAAAAAGAAAATGAGACAATGTCCGAAAAATTCTTTTTACTCCCTCCCCCTGGTTGTGGTTGAAATGATGTCGGCAAGATATGAACTTTTGTTGGAAATGCGATACCACCCCTTCCCCCTGCTCAAGCCTCTTCGCGACGGCCCTGCTCCTTGATAGCAGCTATGTTGCCACAATGTCACCCGGTGAATGTTTAATGAATAATTAACTTTCGGTGCTTTCATTCTCTTCGCATTGACTAAACAAATCCAATCTCGTACCCAGAGCCATCGTTGAGCTCTTGGTGAAGTGGTTTCATTATTCTAGGGCTTCTGAGAGCCACAAGCACTGGGTACGGAGGTTGTGTGACTTTTGAAAGCTCAATGATTCATGTATTTATCCAAATGTGGTCAAAGTTGAATGAATGAATTTAATTTTTGATTTGACACCAACATTACAAAAAAAAATAAAAATAAAAAGATTGTAAATTACATGCATATACTGTATATATAAATATTATAGAACTGTTATATAATAGTTAGATATTTAAATAAGATAGATAAGTTATATAAATAAGTATAGTTCGATAAATAAATTTTGTTCAGTCATCATGTTGGTGACAAGGAAGCCTAAGACGAAACCACAAGGCTTATAGAAGTTTAGGCTCCCTTTTAAATGAGCACAACATATATAAACACAAAGGGGAATCAGACGTTTAGAGCATATGAAATTATTTTACCAGTTTCATAATATAAATGATGGCTATATTAGATATTTTAACATTCTATTCCTGAAGCAACTTAAAGTCTCTGAATTTTTAATGTTTTCCGGAGGGGAATTCCATTTTTGGGGTCCTTGGAACAAAATAGTAAACTTCTTTATGTTTGTACGACATGTATGAGGTCGATATGCATTTGCATTTCTAGTGTTGTAAGAGTGCATGTGACGACTAGTAATGAAAATATTATGAAATGAAG